CCCAGGTGTGCACTGTGCACTTCTCAGCTTCGTTGTCGCTCCAGCGGCAGAGCTCTCCGTGATCTCGTGCTAGGGCAAATCCTCACCTTGCCACTCTCGTGGCACCGTTTCACAGCTGACATCTCACAGACATTCGTGTGGTCGTTTGTCCAGCGTCTGTCAGCCACCTGTGCTGCACTCTAAGCTCCAGGGGCACGGAAACCAGACCTAGGTTTTGCTCATCCCGGGGTCCCCAGGGCCCGACTTGGTGCTTGGCACATAGTCATAATGACATAGTAATGTGACTTGACTTACTTGGTGCTTGGCACATAGTAATACATAGTCACTGAGCAAATCAACTGGCTCAATGGGCCACTTGTTGAAGTCCAGCCATTATTCAAGTTCTTTCCTCTAGAGCATCCCAGAGCCGTTGGTGCCTGGCCCCAGGACCACCCTGCAGCAGGGGACAGGCACCCTCAGGACTCTCGTTTTCCTTTCTTTCCATTGCTTGTAGAGGGTGGCTCTTCCAGACCCTGCACAACCCCCTCCGAACAGGTTCTGGTTGTGCAATGCCTGGACCCAGACTCTGACTCGGGGACGTGGGGCTTTTCGAGAGCCACTTGCCCCCACAGTTCCGAGAAGCGGTTCAGGATTTAATGCCCTAGTTAGCCTTTCACCTCTGAGGCCCTTGATCTCCACGCAATTAAGCCCATACATTAATGAGTTTTAGGGAATAAAGGAGCCCCAAGTGGGATATGGACTTTTCACGCTAGGAGGTTATTCTGGATAATTATTGGCCTCAGCTTGGAAACCAGTTGAGGGCGGGATGAATGGCTGTTGTGGGCTTACAGGGGCATCAAGGAAAACAAATGCTCCTGATGAAATGGACCTCCTCCTTTTTGTTTTCAATCAGGGCCAACCTGAGGCAAAATTAGAAAGTAGATGGAAAATGTCTTAGAAAAATTAAAAAGCAATTTGCCCATAGCCATCTGTGGGCCCTTTCTGAGAGTTTCTCTTTTAGCAGGAAGCAGGGAGTGGCTGAAAATTTTAGAGATGTTCTTAGGGGTGAGCAAGCAACCCCACCCCTGCGGCAGATGCTGGTTAAGGAGTCGGACCTGTGAGCTTACCTTCCAAGTCACCCTCAGGGTCTATTTTCAGGGTTCACCTGGGCTTTCCTGGAAGGAACACCAGGAAAGGGGAAAAATTGGGCATGAGAAAAAGAAACACACTCATGTGCCACCCCCATTAAATAGAGCAGAGTTGGAGTCTTTCCTGTTTACGTTTTCCGCTGGCCGGGGGACTGGCAACACTGGCTGTTTTTGAGAGCAGACTAAGGGGCTGTGAGGGCCAGACTCACAGGCTGCACCCAGGAGGCGGAAGGGTCAGGCCAGGTGCCGCTGCCTCGCCCCCTTCACAGTCCCACCTGCCCTGGGAGATTCTGACTCTCCGCCTGTCCTGGGCACCACAAGTGCCTTCCCCAGCCTTGCCACAGCAGGTGCTTAGGACTTGTCTGCTGAACCGACATGAAATCTTTAATCCACTAGATGGGATCCTGCGTTGTGGGAGGAAAGCGTTTGGGGCCCCACCCCCTGCCACTCAGGGGAGCTTCAGAATTCCAGCCTTTCTCATTTCTCTGGCTGCCCTCCTGCAGGGGACACAGAGAAAGTCAGGGAGGACCAGGCCAGTGTAGCATTTGCCTGAGAGGTGACCTTTGGCATTCTTTCTAGGACTGAAATTTCTCCACCTGTAAAGGCGCGGGGGCGGGGGGCGGGGGTCGCTGTTGAGAGGCTGGAAAGAAACAATATATGTAAAACCCAGCCTGTGGCTAATGTTCGGGAACAGTTAGTCATGATTTCTATTCTAGCTCAGAAAACCCAAGAACAGCAATCTGTCGGAAGTCTTTAGCGAAAGCAGAGGGCTGAATGTCAAAGTTCAACATTTCAGAACATGCTGGCCCGCTTCAGCCAGCTGTTTTATGTTTCAGGAATGTCAGGCTCTCTTCTTGGCTCCACGTTGGAGGCAGAAACATAAGCGTTCAGTGCCCAGATGGAATCTGAGGTCATCTGATCCAACACATCATTTTACAGATGGAAAAACTGAGGCCACCAGACTAGAAATGTCTTGGCCAAATCTGCTCAAGGAATCTGAAGACGGAAGTAGGGCTGGAACCCAGATTGCTTGTTTCCTGGACAACCGCTAGAGTCCTGCCCCATGCCAGCTGTGCCTGCAATTTAGAACGAGCACAAAGTCCCTTTAGCTAATGACGCTAGAAAGACATGCAGCTCTTGTGTTTAATTCTTTTTCTGTCCCTAGCAGAAGGTCATGGGTACATAAAACAATGAGCCAGAGTGACGTATGTCTCTCTCTCCTCCTCATCTTCTTCCTCCCTCCCTCCCTCCCTCCTCCCTCCCTCCCTCCCTCCCTCCCTCCCTCCCTCCCTTCCTTCCTTCCTTCCTTCCTTCCTCCCTTCCTCCCTTCCTTCCTTCCTTCCTTCCTTCCTTCCTTCCTTCCTTTTTCTTTCTTTCGCCCTGAATATAGAAAACAGCCTGGAGACCTGGGTAGGTCTTCCAGGCTCTAAGGCTCAGGACTGAAGGTTTGTGTAGTAGACGTGCCCCCCCTGGTGGACTAAGTGAAGATGACAGGCAGGAAGTGAAAAGAGTTTCCTCCTGGAGGGGCTGCTGACGACTCAGCCTCCCTCATCTTGCCCTAATCCCAGCACTGGCAGATCTTGTCTTTATTTAAAATGTCGATAGTTTGTTCATCACAGAGATTTTTTTTGCATTAATTTCGATGTATTAAAATATTACACTAATACGTTATCCATACAGGGCGGGGCAAAAGTATGTTTACAGTTGTGAATATGCAAAAGTTCATTCTTGTGTTATTATTTATTAATTATTGTATTATTTTCCATACAATGTAAAACTACTTTTGCCTCACCTGTATTATTGCAAGTTTTATATTATATATTCTCTCTATACTGTTGCAATAGTGTATTCCTGATTAAAATCTGACCTCACCACTTTCACTAGTGTGGAGCTTAGTTTATCTTTGCCAACGGCTGCCTTTCAAAGTGTGTCCCTTATGAGAAAAGACCCCGGGGTCAAGGGCAATTTTATTGCACAAAGATGCAGTGGGCTCTGGGTTTTCGTCGATGCCTGCAAACGTGAGGGTCTAAAGGTAGGCAGGCCCCCTTTGCTGAGGCTCACGGTGTGGGGTCAGTCCCCCAAAGTGTCTGGAAAGGCAACCTTCTTGGAACACCTTTCTCGTTTGGGCCTCCATCCTGCGTCACCTGCCTGAGGACCCCAGTGGTTCACCAAGGAGGCAGCCACTCAGAAGTGCTAGTGGGTAAATCAGTGCTCCTCCCTGCTGTCAGCTGGTTACCAGAGACCCCCTGCACTGTGTCACCTGCTTCTGCCCACCTGCCACAAAGCCAGCACTCCTGTCTCGCCACCTCCAGCAGTCCCGGACCACATCCAAAGGAGACGAGATCCCAGAGAGGGTTCCTGCCAGGTTCTGCCCCCATGGCTCCCCCACCCCCATCATTCTCACCAGGCTCCCAAGAGGTTCCCCGGCAGGGTGACAAAAGAGCATGGGCTTAGGTCAGGCCCAGAAGTGGCCCTGCTCGTCTTGCTTGGGTTGAATTCATTACCCAGGGTACAAAGGGTTAAGTTCACTGCCTTTACATGCCTGCATCCCTGGGGGAAGGAAAAGGAAGTGGTTAAAATTGCTCCTAAAAATATTAGAAAAATAAAAAGGTGAAAAGAACTGTTCACAGAGATTCCTGCACAAACTCACTGGGGCGCCAGGCAGAGCACTGACCTACACATTGGGCTTCTCAGGTACATCCTAGCTCCACACTTTTTGTGGCCCAGTGACAATGGAGTTATTTCAAATAAACTCCATTTTATTTAGGGAGGGGACCCCCCCAGGCTGTGCTCCCTGTTCCTGGGGCCCCTTTCCAGCTAGAGGTTGGTGAATGCCATCTGCCGGGGAGCTGTGGTTCCATCAGAAAATTCTCTCCAGCAATTGACCTGGGGAGCCCTCTCCCACCAGCCGCTTTGTACTGTGGCTTCTGGTGCCTCAGATTCCTGTGCACTGGAAACCCCTGGGGCAGGGGTGACTCATTTACATGCTACCCAGTCCCACTGGTCCGGTGTCTCAGAGCTGTGGTTCTCCGGCATGCGGGGGTACCCCCATGTAGCTCACCAGCTGAGACGTGGGCCTGCAGGAGATGTGTAGCCAAGAATAAAGTGCTGAAGTGTGAGATGGATTTGACTCATGCACGGAGAGGATTCAAGGTCATCCCCATATTGAGGTCCTGCTCACTCTTGCATCCTGACCAGCTTTCTTGAGTGGAATGAACTCTCCATAGCCCGCGAGGGTCTATATAATCTGGCCTCATCTCCTTGGTTACTTCCCTCCATTCCTTTGGCCTTCGGGCAGTTCCTCAGCTACACTAAACTCTTCAATGTCAAGGCCTTTACACTGGCAGCTCCTTCTGCCAGGAGACCTCTTCCCTCACCCAGCCTTCTGCATTGCTGTCTCCTGCTTCAGTGCTCAGCTTAACAATTAACCCCTTCCTGGTGCTGGTGGGAAGAGACTTCAGAGGGCCTTGGGTCATTGGGGGGCTGGAAATATTCTGTTCCTAATCTGTGTGGCGGTAACAAAGAGTGCACATGTAAACATTCATTGAGCTGTCTAAGATGTGTAGACTTTACTATATATAAGTAAACCTAAAAATATGGAATAAAAAAAAAAGCCCACCTCTTCCCTGTCTCCTGTTATGCTGGTTACTCTTGACCATGGCATGTGCATTTCCATCCTGGCACAAAATTACATTATTTGTGTGTTTTCTTGTAAATCGTATACCCCACTAGAATGTAAGGCTCTTGAGGCCAGAGCCTCTGTCTCTCTTGTTCCCTGTGGTAGCTCCCTGAGTGTAGCACAGTGCCTGTCACCCAGTAGGTATTTAAAAAAAAAAAAAAGTGAATAGATAAATGGAAGGATGGATAAAAAAAGCTTGGATTTAATGGTGTAGAAAAAGGGGGGAGAGGAGGTCGCCCTGAGTCTGGAAGATCCCGGCTCCCAGCCCCAGCAGACTGTCCAGGGGTCGTGCTCTGTAAGCAGAAGTCCAGGAGCCTGTTCATTGTCCCTGCAGACCCAGCACGGGCCCGTCTACACTTCATTGGGGTCGTCCTGGTCGGCGTAGATGAGAAAGCCTGTGAAGAGGCTGTCGGTCCAGTAGGGGTCGTAGAAGAGCCCATTCTGCTCTGAGTAGAAGATCTGCAGCCAGACCTCGTCCCCCTGCTTGAGAGCCAGGATGGTGGAGCCCGAGGCCACGTCGTGGTTGCCCGTGTTGGCGTCGAAGGTCCGGATGCGGTACTGGCCATTGTGCACCAAGCCGATGGCCAGGTGCTTGTTGGCCAGCGTGATGTCGTAGGTGAAGAAGTAGATCCCCGGCACGCTGCAGACGAACTTGCCGCTGGAGGCGTTGTAGTGACCGCCCTCGTTCATCAGGATCTTGTCGAACTTGATGGGCAGCCGCTCCCGTGGGTAGCTCTTGGTCACCGCCACTGAGAAGGCGGACTTGGCGTGGCCACTGCCGCAGCTGCAGGGGCCCGGGAGGCCCGGCTCCCCCTTCTTGCCCTTGGGCCCCTTCTTGCCTGGTGTGCCGTGCTTCCCCGGGGCGCCGCTCACGCCCTTGGGGCCGCGGGGGCCAGCCCGCCCAATGGCCCCGGCTTTGCCCTTTGGTCCTGGCTTCCCCCGGTTACCTGTCCGGCCCGGGGGACCTGGAAGATAGAGCAGCTGGAGTTATGAAGGGGCCCTCGGAAACGTAGGCAGAGGCTGTGGGCCTTGGCTTTCCATCTTTGGAGCCAAGCCCCCGAGTAATGGGAAGCACAAGAGGGCTTTGGAGTTGCAAATCCCCATTGTGTTAACCTGGGCCCCATCTCGCAGTCCCATCTGGAAAACGGGAACGGTGACACATTCCAGAATCATTGGGGGTCGGGGCAAAAATAACACAATTCACAGCCTTTTCTTTTCCTGCCTCCTAAGGAAGAGTCTGGTTTGTCTGCCCAAACAATACACAATGGGTTGTGCTGGCAACGGATGGGAAGAGAATTGAGAGAAACTTTTTGACCTCAAAACTTTGACCTGGGTGAAATCCCTGCCTAGTGCCCCATCCCTGCCCATGCGCAGGAGGGAGTTTAGTGCAGCCCTGCTCACCATAGTGAACATTATGAATGACTAACTGCCCACTTGCAAGGGGAGATGATGAGGAAATTATGGTCCACCCATAATGGGCAGTTCTATGCAGATTTTAAAATGAGGCAGACTTACGTACACTATATGAAAACATCTTCAAAGTATCCCGTTAAGAGGGAAGAGCCGGTGGAGGAATTTTTTTTGTTCAAAGCAACCCACAATGCTACTTTATACCCATTTAATTGCATGGAAGATTGCCTGATCCATAGTAAGCACTTGCTGAATACACTCGGCCTACCCTAGGCTACATTTCCTGTGGAACAGGTCTTGGTTCTTCATGCCCGTATTTCATAAAATGTGCATTTCCTTCAGGATGACATTTTTGGCCCATGATTATATAGAAAACATTTATTTTCATGTCCCCTAAACTCAATACAACATCTTAAATAAAACATATGATGGGTAAAGAGTTGAGTCACGTCCCAGCACAAGTGGACAGTTGATATAATAGGTAAACAGGCAGAATCAGGTATAGGTGTTTTGAGAAGCCTGCTGAATGCCAATCAAGGATCCTGCTCCTGAAGGTTGTTGGTGCTGAAGAACATTCTAGCCTCATTGTGACAAGGCAACTCTTTATTTACCACTGCATAAATTGAACGTATAGAAAGTAAAATAGGCATTTTACACCCTAAGAAGATACTTTGCTCCTTACATGTATACATTTTACTGTGGTTTAGAGTTTTGGGTGAACATGCATTTTTATTTTTCTTGTTTTAAATAAGTGGGAAATAGATTCCCTAATAGTCTTTTCTCGCTGAACATCTAATTTCAAGAACTGATTGCTTCCACCCAGCAATGCCTGGCATTATCGTACACTGTGTAAATACATAGAAAAAGGCCAGGGAACATACACATTTAACCAGTTATCAGGGGTTACCTCTGGAGGATGAGAGGTGGACAAGAAAGGGGTGCAAATTAAGGGGGACTCCTGTTCTATTTGTATTGTTTAAATTTGTTACAGTGAAAATGTATTTGTGTATTACTCATGCAATTAAATATAACTAAAGGGAATGGGGAAAAATAAAACTAGGAAAGGTCACAAAGTTGTTCCTTGAAAAAATGAAGATAACCCTGGCTTATATGGCTCAGTGGATTGAGCACTGGCCTGCAAACCAAAGGGTGGCGGGTTCAACTCCCAGTCAGAGCGCATGCCTGGGTGGCGGGCCAGGTCCCCAGTGGGAGGTGCTGGAGACACAATGACAGACACATTGATGGTTTTTTTCCTCTCTTTCTCCCTCCTTTCCCCCTCTCTAAAACTAAATTAAGTCTTTCAAAAAATGAAAATAAACACAAGGTGGGGGAAAGCTAGGAGAAGAGGAGTAAAGAGAGACATTTTGGACTTAAGTTTTTTGGGGGAAATGAACAATAGGGAAGCTTATTGGAAAGCAAGGTGCTTCCTTCTTGATGACTTTCCTGAGACAATTCAGGAAGAGCTGACTTACTCTTCAAGACCTTTCTGGAGATGGGTTTACACGTGTCTGTCAGGGGCAGGGGGCTGGTGGTGGTCCCGTACTCTGGCTGATCCAGGCGTAAACCGGAGTTTTATCTGGGTTACACACATCAGGGTTCCTGCTTCTCAACACCGCCTTCCTCAGTGTGTTGGATTAATTCTCAGCACAGATTCAGTACATGGCAGGAAAGGTGGCCAAAGGCAGCCCCAAGCCTGCATCCTCGCAGCCCTTGGCCGAGAGGGAAAAGCCAGTAGCAGAGACCTCTTTCCTGCCCGAGGGTTCCTGGGGTGAGCGTCGGGGAAAACTGGGGCTGGCCCTGTGCAAAGCACATGTCCACATACGAATCTCCCACTGCAGTCGGGAAATGGGGTAATGCTCTGTCAGTGTGAAAATGCCATACAGATAAAAGCTATTATTTCCCTACTGTTTTAAGTGTGCATTCTGGGGTGCTGCTGGGGTGACAGTTTGGAGGTATAAGGAAAGTCAAGGCTAAGAGGGTGTGTAGACAGTATTCAATGTATTTGCTGGCTGCCTGGCATCTTTTTCTTTGTGGAACTGCACTTCACTGCTTCATGGGGTCCCAGTGAGGCTGTCAATCACAGTGACCAACTGCCCTCATCACCCAATCACACACGTCCAGGGGTGGGCACAAGTCCCAGTCCAGGCAAGTGGTGGTACCTCACTTCCGTGATCAAAGGGATTGGTTCAGGATGCACGAGTGATCGGGGAGGGTCAGTCATCCTGGGATTTGCTCTATGGATCAAACCATGATGAGGAAGGCTTGAGCCCACCAGGAACCATTACAGGACTTCCAGCCTTTGCGAAAACCAACACACAGAGAGAAGCAGAGCCTGGATAACAATATTTGAGCTCCTGGATCCAGCCTTTTCTGAAGCTTAACTCTTGGACTTCTCCATTGCATGAGCCAATAAATTCCATTTGGGGCTATAAATTGGGTTTTTGCCACTTGCCACCAAAAGAGATCTGAGTAGTATTTCAGGAAACTTGCCCAAAGTCATTCCGCAAACCAGTGGTGTAGCTGGGGAAGGAGCACAAGATTTAACACCCACTGCTTCTCTCAGGAGAACACAGGGCTCGTTTTTTAAAGGGATGTTAATTTGGCTGATCATGACACGGGTCGACACCAGCTTTCAGCTCTCTGTGCCAGACGCTGTCAAGACCAGGTGGCACAGGAGGGGCAGGTGCTGGGCCTCTTACCTTCCTCTCCGCTGTCCCCCCGGTCCCCGTCCTGGCCATCCTGGCCGTCTTTGCCGGGAAAGCCCATCCTTCCCACCATTCCTGAGGGCCCTGGAGCTCCTGGGGGACCGGGTGGGCCCTGGGGGCCAGGCAGGCTGCAGACCAGTTGAGGGGAGCCCTTCTGGAAATCCCTGCGGGTGAGGGCGCCCAGCAGAGGGTCGGCCGCACAAGGGAGCGCGCAGGCCAAGAGCACCCAGGGGATCATGGTGTCACCTGTAGGAGGCAAGAGAGCTGTGAGCAGGGAGCGCGGCCACTGCTGGCTGTCAGAGAGGACGCAGGGGAGGAGGCAGCAGCTGGGAACTGGGTGATATTTCTGGCTCCTGCTTGCCCTGCATCACATACATACGAGTAGCCGGACAATGTCATCATATCCTGCGTATATACTTGGATGAGCTGAGTCATGGGCCCAGAATATACTTTAGAGGGTCTTGGGGTGAGGCACTTGTCCTCATACCACCCTTGTCCCCTGGAGTGGCAGGATGTATGGCCCAGTGACAGCGGACTGGGGCGAGCTGTGGACAGAGAGAAACAAGCCACAGCTTCATTCAAATATGTGACCCAAATGGAAAGCTACAAGGGCAGAAATACTTCAGATGGCAGGTGATGATTTACAACTTGCTGCTCCTTCCAGGGGGCTCGGGGTAGCCCATCGTGGGGGGTGGGGAGTGAGGCTTCAGGGCTGAGTGACACTGGTGGGCCATGGTGCCACTCCTCTGCTGGGTGCTCTCTGGGTGCCAGGCATGGGCTGAGGGCCTTCCAGATGTTTCTTCACCCTCAGACATCCTTACCCGGTAGGTACGGGCGAGGAAATGGAGGCCCAGAGAAGTTCACAACGTGCCTGGCATTCCGTTAGCAGGTGGCTGGGCATATCCAGAGTGTCTGCCCTTTTGTCCCCGGTTACAGTGTGTCCTTCATTTTTAAAGTTAGAAATATCCATTGAAATAATATACTCACATCATTTTAAAATCAAACAATACTATTAGGCTTATAATAAAAAAAAAACTGGTCTCCTACCCATCCTTCACCTCAACCCCCGCTCCAAACTCCTTCTGCTGTTTCTCCTGCAAACTGGTGCCCTACACAGTCCGCCAGCCCCAGACTCTCCATCTTCTTCCCTCTGGACTTGATGGGGAAGAGTCTTGGGAAACTGGTCAGTGTGACTTGTGAGCTGTGAAACATCGACACTTCCGCACTTTGGGGCTCCCAGAAGGGAAACGCATTCTGCAAGCAGGTTTGAACTGATTTGGAAAGCTGCAATCCGCAAACGTTTTGGACGAGGGAGAGAGGCAGGAAGCGGTGGGAGCGAGTCTCCTGGGCTGGCGAGAGTCCTGTGAAGGGCCAGGCACACGCAGACAGGCGGGAGGGAGGGGGCAGCATGTGCTTCAGTTGCCCATCCCCTCTCTCTTCCGACCTCCACTCTCAGACACACACGCTGGGCAAGAGAAAGGAGGGTCTGTTCTCCAGCCTCTCGGGACAGTAAGGACAGGGCTCAGTGACAGCTGGCCCAGGGCAGGGCCCAGCGTCAGGGCGGAGGAGCGGGGCTCTGGAACATGCAGGGAGCAATGGCTTTCTGGGAGCTGGAGGTTCCCGTGGCTGGAGCCAGGGACTGTTTTGGAAATAAAGGCGGGGTGACTGGATTCCAGTTCCAAACCTAGAGGGCGGGAGAGCATAGTCTCCGTGGCCCCAGAACACCTCCCAGAAAAACAAGCTCCAAATAGCCTTGCTCCTGGCCTGGGCCCAGCCCTCCTAGGTCTGGCCCCAGCAGGCTACTCTCCACACCAAAGTGGTGAGAAAACCTGGGGTGGGGGTGCATGACCCCAAGGAATCCACACAGGTTAACTCTTCAGGGTCTTTTAAATAAATGCAGCATCACAAACTTGGGGAGAGCCCCGAGCAATGGTCTCATCTAACCTCTTCAGTTAGGGACAGGGAAACTGAGGCAGCAACTAACTGGCTGTAAGGGGCGTCTACAATGCCCCAGGCACTGGGTGCCACTTTCTACCTGAATCCTTTCATTTGCAGCTTACAATAAACCCTACGAAGGTGGAAAACTTACTGTTCCATTTTTCAGAGGTTCTAGGAAGTCACATGACTTACCCAAGGTCACAGGATTGGAGCAATGGGGACAGCACTTGAACCCGAGTCTACGGGGCTTGGAAGACCACACTGAGACCCCTGCACCTTGCTGCCTTCTCCTGGAATTCCTCCTGGCATTTCTGCTTTTATAGAAGAGGAAACTGAAGCTCCGAGAGGCCAATTTGCTCATGTTTACACGACTAGCTCGTGGCAGAAGTTATATTTGAAGTTGGGTTTGGCTGACCCTGATGCTCAAATGCTTTCCATTATGTCAGTGTGTCTTTGATTTTTCCTCCTAAATATTCCAAATTACAGGAGAGACCTTGAAGTATGCGGCCAAGCTACACAGAGCAAGAGAAGAGTTCTTGGATATTTTGTATTTTGTCATTTTATACACACACGCACACGCACACACACACAAGACACGACTTTGAAAATGTTAAGAGCGATGCTTTTTCTCCCTTGGGGCCCTTGAGTAAATTGGTGCGTGACGAAAACCTTCTGTTCTTTGAGAGGTCTGCACTTGGCTTAGCCAAAATGATGGGGGTCGGGGTAGAGGGGACAGCCTCCTGGGCTCTGACTCCCCGCCATGAGCCTCCTTGGAGTGTTAACTACTGGGTATTTCCAGGGGCTGATCCAAAAGACCAGGGTGCACGGAGGCCATCAGCTCATTCCTTACTTGGACCTGGCAACAGCAGCCTGCCTGATCTCTTGGTCCTCTCCCTGCCCTCCCCCATGGACACTCCATGCTGAAGAAGCCAGAGGGACCCTTTAAAAGCGTAACTCAGGAGCTTCACTTCCTGGAGGATCTTACTGCAGTGGCTACTGGTTGCAAATAGCAAACCCCTGACCATGTGGCTCACCAGGCCCTAAATCACCCAGCTCCCCCCACAACCCCACCCTAACCCAGCTCCTCCCCACCTCTTCCTGCTCCTCCAGACACCCCTTCTCTTTCAGACGGAGCTCTGTTCTGCCCCTCTTTTTTTGTTTTTAAGATTTTATTTATTTATCTTTAGAGGGGAAGGGAAGGAGAGAGGGAGAGAAATATCAATATATGGTTGCCCCTTGTGAGTCCCCTGATGGGAACCTGCCCGCAACCCAGGCATGTGCCCTGACTGGGAATCGAACCGTGGTTGCTTGGTTCCCAGGCCCGTGCTCAATCCACCGAGCCACACCAGCCAGGGCTGTTCTGCCCCTCTTTCTGACAGGGGCTCAACCCTCTGGCACGCTGGCTCTCTACCCTGTGTTTTGGCATAAATGTAACATCCTCCAAGGCCTTCCTGATGGCTCTCCCATTGGTCCCCAGCTCCTCGTTTGTGTTCTTTCCAGAAAGCTCACCTGTGTTCACCTGTTCCTGCAAACTCACCTGTATTCCCTGCCTCCACCTGCCTACCTGCTTCTGGGCCTGCTGCCTCCCCATCGTGTCCCCCATTAACACAGAAGCTGGCCCACTCCCGTGGGGACCGCAGCTGACTTGCTGTCTCCCTGAGTTTCCAACTTTCTTGCACTCAGCAGGTGTTTAAGAAATACTTCCTTGAATAATGAATGTTTGATACCCAGAGTCTACCCTCAAGAGCATCCACAAAAGAGGAAAAACACGGCAGTGGACTAAATCCAAAAGGGCACCTATGCTCTTGGGTTTCAATAAGTCGTCTCCCTTTTCGTTTTTTTTCTGATCCAAACCAGACCTAATCCCTCCTTCCTTTTGACCTCCTAGAGCACAGGGACCCCAACCCAACTCGGGGGGGGGCGCGTGCAGAATATTTTTTATATAGCAGGTGCTCCATACATATCTGTTCAACTGACCAGAGAGGGAAAATGTATTGGTCCCTCCTCACCTTTTAAAAATGATCTTAGCTCCTAAATTGTCCTTTCTGGCACGAGTTGAATAGCGGAGGCTGCATGACAGTGTCCCTGGTGAGAGAGAAAATGTTGGCTGGTGGAAGCCCAAATACAGAATCATGAGTTGCTAAACTTGGACGGAGATCTTCAGTCTGGTTTTCATTTGCCCACTGCCTGGCCTCCTCATCTCCCCATTAAGTAGCTAATGATTCACAAATATACAGGTTCTAGGAAAATGTTAGGTGCTACAGGGCCCAGCCTGAGCCTTCTTCCTTCTTCCTCTTCTCCCACCCATAGGACCACACCTCTGCACCTCCACGCCCGGCCAATTCCTTCCCAAGGGCCCTCCACCCAGACTGTGGTGTGGGAAGGGCCAGAGGTGGGACCTCCGCCCCTCACTGACTTTACCTAAACATGGTCCTACCGGTAGAGATGCCGGGACACTTGTCTGGGCCTTGAACAAGGCTGCTAGGGCTGAGTTCTGAATAATGTCACCCTGGACGTCAGAGGATATAAATTATGCTCAAATAAATTTGAGCTGCTCGTGGTCCAGCCGTGACACACCGATAGATAGGGGTGGTGTTTGGCTCAGGGATTAAGAGACGTGACACCTGGCCACTCAACTATCCAACGGGAACCGCAGAGTACCTACCTGTCCAAGTTCATGTAGCTACAATGAGAAAATGTGTTCCAAGCTTCTAGTGCACGGTGTGAGAGCAAATGCTCAGCAGACGTGAGAAATCTGCCTAAAATGCCCCCTGATGTGGAGGGGGCACTCTCCTTTCTCCAAAGCCCTTGGAGGGCCACCTGCCTCATCCTTCCCCACTCAGGTCTAGTAACCTCTCCCCAGAGGGCCCTGCCCCAGCTCTGGATCTAAAATAGCCCGGGTCAGACCTCCCTGGCCTGTCTTCCAAAGCATGTGGCTCAAGCTGAGATTATATCTTTTTTTCTTTACTGAGTTGTTCACTGTCTGTCTCTTTCCCTTGGTGTGGACGGGCCAGGAAAGCAGACGCCCTGTCCCTCTTGCTCTGTGTTCTGTCACCAGAGTCTAGCACGGCGCCCACACACATGCAGTGATTGCTCAGCTCACAATCGTTCCAGCCTTGAAGGGAATGGTCACTGATAATAAAAGAGCAAAAAGATCAAAACCGGGCGGATGACAAAGCCACGCTTGGCTACTGAGGGAAACCCAGTGACATGAATGCACTTGGATTCAGAAGACGCATCCCAGCTTTGTAACGCACTGGTCAAGTGACTGTGGAAAAGTCATTTCCTCTTATCTGGGCTCCCATCTCCTCAAGTACAAAGTGGAGACAGTAAGTCTCAGCCGGCTGCCTTGCAGGGCTGTTCTGAGGATCCAGAGGGGTAATGGGCGTTGAGAGCAAAACGTGATACAAAAGTTAGAGCCTCCTTTAAAATTATAATTGACGACAACTGCAGCTGAACTAACAGCATGCAGACCCGACCTGGCACTGGGCCCCCCCCCCAGAATATTTCACAGGGAGGCCTAGTTCTGCCTGGGGAAGGATACCTGAATCTGGCCTAACTGGGCAATTAATTCTCCCAGTGTTTGGAGTTAAAAAGGAAGGGCTTGTGGTTGGGATGGGGGCCGGGCTTGCTTGCAGATGAAGTGCGCTAAAAATTGGCTTTAATGAGACTGCAAATTCTATAATGAGAGACACCCCACGCCCTCCCTGAATTCCAGGAAGCAAATTGGAAACAGCCCTCTCCAGGTTCTCTGAGGAGCTGAGACACCAACTGGAGGCGGGAGGGTGGGTGCCAGCGACTTACACATGGTGTTCACCCAGCACCTCCTCTCCTGGGCTGTCCAGACCACGGCCCATGCGGACACCCCAGCATGCAAAGTCAACAGTGCAGATCGTGACAAGTCATCGGACCCACTGGTCACAAGGCCCCAGAAAATATCTGAGCTCTCTCCTGTTTTCCGCCCCCTCTTTCTGGCTCAGTCTAGAAGAAGAGGTTCGAGGCCAAACCATGACCTAACGAGGTCTCGGAAGTCAGGGCCTCAAGGGGTTTTTCCCAGTGGCACTCCCGAAAGCAGGCCAGGAGTCAGCCTGGTGGGCGCTGTGCTGACACCCCAAAGCCTTAGACACCAGCAAACGTGGCACGTGATGTGGTGGAGTTGGAGCCCACCCTCCAGGCTGCATCAACTGCCTGTGCAGCGAGGTCCAGAGTCAGGCTCTGGGTGGCTGAGGCCAAAGCCCTCGAGCTCTGGACCTGCTCAGCACAGCAGTGTGCGAGAGGAATGCAGCAGATGTGCCAGGCGTGCGGGGAGGGAGGGGGCCTGAGGGTGT